TTAATGATAATAATAATAATAATAATAATAATAGAAATGATTGCATAATTCAGAGCCATACTAAACAAACTATTTGCAATCTCGCTGTTTGCAATTTGTAAAACGCTGGAAATTTTACGCAATAAATTAAATAATCATAATCCTCCTTTATACACAGTAAAAAAAAAATAATAATAATAACAATAATAATAATACTAATAATCATATTGATAATAATAATAATAAAAACAACTGCATAATTCAGAGCCGTACTGAACAAACTATTTGCAATTAAACGTACGTGGCTATAGGCTTGTTGTTAATAACAATTTTCTTTGAATAGTGAAATCCGCAAACCGAGGCACCTCGAGATCGCGCAGACGTGCAAAATGACGCTGAGAGGCCGACCTGGCGATTATTTCGAGATCACCAGCCGAGCCAGTCTCTTTCGTGGACGACGAGTCACTGCTAATGACTCGACGATTGACGAGGCATTCTCAGATATATTTGGCGCTAAGGGACGCATGCAAGCGACGGACGATTCTTCCCGCATCTGTATATGCTAGCTGAACTGAGTGCAATGTGACTGTGTGGTAAACACAAAACAATCGTTCAAGGATGTTGTTTTGACGATTTCAAGGTTTTTTCCTCTTCTTTTCTGTTCGTATTGATACATGATTTATTAGAGAAAATCGGTGAAAGACACATAACATTAGCAACGATACGTCAAAATTTTGGCAGTTGTGACGTTTAAATGAATAGTAGAGGTATTATGAATCCAAGTAAAAATGTTAACTGCGGCCATTTGTAGGCAACTAAGTATATACTTTCTAATACAGGTAAAAAAAAAAAATAACTCGTACAAGGCAAACCATGGGATCAAAAGACCAGTTGAACAGTATACCGACGCGCGCGTGGACAAGATTAATGTGTATAACTGCATTTTGTTGATGCTGGCAGCACTGGCTGTTGACATAACGCGGGCGCTCTGGCTGCACTTTGGGTTGAAGGGGGCGTCTATGTATACGTTGGGTAATCGCAAGGGTGCACTTACACCTTCTCCTTTCGAACGGATATCCATCGATGGTTCGCTAGTTTGCCTTTGCTTTGAATCCACCCAGACGCCCTTCGGACGCACCAACGAGTATCAATAAATAAGGATCCAAGGGATTCTGACGATGATCTTCTAAGCCACGCTCGATTGGATGGTTCCAAGTGTTTCGGATTTCTTCCACTTCTGGAGAATATTTCACATGCTTGTGACACGTTACTTGTTTCATATGATCTAATGTTAAGTTATGTTTTGTTAAAATTACATTCCAAGAAGTTGCACAACTTTTAAGGTTGAGCACTGGATGAATAATGGACAATGATATGATCGTGATATTTAAAAGACAATCAATCAATAATGGCAAAGAAAATTCCATTTGTAGTTTCAAATTTTACCCTATTTTTTCTTGTCAAAGATCATAGGTTAACTGTTCTTTCGCTGATTAAGCCAGGGACCACTACCTCCTACCCTTTTTCGTTGTCAATAAATCCAATTTTTAGATGTTTCTAAAACGCCAAAAGGGTCATGATAGCGTCCAAGACATGAAAAATGATAGTTCGGAAATTCGTTCATAACAAGAAAATTTAAGACGTATAGAACGTATTTTTTGAACTCGGTAATTTGGCATTTCATTAGACATTCATTTAGTTTACCTTTGAAAAAGTATTCAAGTACAAGATATATTAGCTTAAAGTCCATGTCCCAGTACTCGGTCATTTAAGCAGACGAAATGTCCCAATAGTCGATCACTTTTTTCTTTTGTAGGCTTTCGTTATATTTTCAATTGGGTATATACATCACGTTAATTTGTATTGAAAAAGTGATTGAGACAATGACCGAGTACTGGGACATCGACCTTAAATGTAATTTCTTGTAGAATGAAAAAAACTCCAGAACTCATGAATTGTTCACGATTGTTGCCATGCGATTGGAGAATAACTGGATCGAGACGCAACTTGTAACCAACAAAAGCAGTATTGTTTATTTTAGCGTTACAAGCAGAGCACCACTAATTGTCAAGTATTGACTTGGATTTAGAAGAACAAAAAACTCTTTCAAAACCGTAATAATCCTCAGGTCCGGAATAAACGAAAAAACACATAAATCAGCACGAGTTACACGCAGAGTTTTGAAAACACATACCAGCGAGCGTCTAATTACAAATCGCCAAGTACTCGCGAGTGGGAGACATAATCACCCCCTTCTTCCTTCTCGCGGCAAACAAACAAATGAATTCTCGCAAGTGCCGCGGAACAACGTTTGCACTTTTCCATGTAACAACGAATTGTTTCGGAACGTCGGCAAGTGAAACAAATGCAGAGTACGTGTATTACATTGATGGAAGTACACACATACGTGTACTTTGGACGCGTTGTAGCGTTAAATCGTAGGCGGAGCCGGAAAACGAGAGGGAAAAATCACCACCAGCGTCCCCCCAGAGCCGGAGCCCTCGGGAAAGGAAGGGAGCGAGGGACGAAGACGACGATGCGTCGGAGGCGTGCAACCGGAACGGGGAAACCGTGCGAGGAGAGAGAGAGAGAGGCGAGGGAAAAAAAGTGTCGCATGCCTCGTCGCTCAAAGCCAGACGGCAATGACGCTTGAAAGTGTGTGCGTAGAGAAGCCGGAAAAAGGAAGATAGGAGGACGACGTGCAAGCGCAGATGCCGGTGGGGAAGAAGATACTCACGTATATGCGCGTGTGTGTCCCAACGAGGAGTCTCAAAAGGAGGTGCTCGTTTGTCTCGCGGGCCGTTTAAATCGCGCTGTACTTCTGTTCGTTGGTGTGCATGTGGCTGCGAAGGGAATCCGGGACAAAATGTTCTCGGGCGCGTAATTCGCGGGATCACGTTTTTTGAAGTCTGATGTTTTCATTAGTTTAGCCTTTGTCGGTCGCGTGGACGTGATTTTTATCATCATGCGAACTTTACCCGAACCTTGTTGGGGTATAGATGATCCTATTGTCAAGGTTTGGGGCTACTGTTTCACAAACAGTATAAATATTATACGATGTGCAAGAAAACTCGTTTCACTAATTTTATTTGAATAATATTGTAACTTAGAACCTATCAATTACGGGATCATCCCAAAATTTACTTGAAAATTACAATTTTAGGGGTAATTCCTAATGTTTTCTTTATTTTTGGTGCTACAGGAACAAAGAACCAATTTTTCATCAGTACATTAAGATTTACTTGTTCGTTTGTCCCTTACCTCTACCAGCTTATTGTCTCGGTCTCTTGTCCACAATTGGAGTATGATCATCCTTGCCCTTCGACATTGTTCCATTTCGAGTAGAAAGGACCATGATTTTTTCCGCTTCTTTGCCGAGTTTGGCTCGTTTACCATTCACACCGTACACCCACAATTGCTACCCCTTATATTTTTTTAAACTAATGTGCTTGTTTTATTTCTGTTTCCGTGTTTGTATTTTTATAAAAGTCCATTGTGTCCCAAAATGAATGAAGGAAAAAGTTAAACAGTCACGGACTACCGACTACTGCCCAGCAAAGACATCAAGACGTAAAATAACTATCTCACGTTTCTCCGCGTCAGCTTCCTAATTATCCACCAAAGCGTACACATACACATACGCAAAACGATCCCGTACAAAAATATTTGATTCCTCATTCACCTGCTATTGTGTCTCTATCGATAAAAAATTCATCGCTCATCTCGCCTGAAAGCCCATCAGCCGAAATCCAGTCGACGTCGGAGCCTGTTTTTCTCCTCGGTCACGCCAACCTGTCGTCAAAAGGTTTACCCAAGAGAGCCAGCCAACGTCTCCATCGTCGCTCGACGAGAGACAGAGGAAAAAAAAAAAAAAAAAAGAAGAAGTCATCCCCCTCATCTTACGTGACAGAATCGGCTCAGCGCCTCCGAAGGCTCGCCCCCCCGCACTTTGACCGATTGACACGTGGATGGCGTTGAATTTCGTCGGAGGATGATTTTTTTTTCGCCGCTTGAGAGATCCACACGTATAGGTTTGATCGATCGGAAATCTCCGTGATTTTCCACTCGTGTGTTTTTTCGCACCTCGTGTGGCGACATAAATTATATCCAGCCTCCCGGCAATACCTCCTTACAAAAGAGTATTCCTCGAGGACTAAGTAATCATCTTCCTCGCGGCACGACTCGACATTGGGTAAAATTAATTATTTTCGTTGCTTCGCACGAGCGAAAGCTCCTTACTGCAGTTAAAAAAAAATATATATATATATAAATGAACCAACAAAATCACGTCCCCCTCCCATTGCCACTCGACAAGTACAATGTCCATATAGTGAAGCAGCGCCCACTCGGTAGAAAAAAAAAAAAACAGCCTCATCACGGGAGCACCGATTAATAAAGACGCTAACGTATCAATCTCGAACGCGAGGCGAAGGCGCTATTTACATTCTGGCAGGAGACTCGTTGGGCTCGACTTCCTCACCTGGTAACAATATTTTTTCGTCGAGGTACACCAACAACCCAAGTGCACGTACGAATAACGAGAAAAAAAAAAAAAAAAAAAAAAAACCCCAAACGGTTCGAGTGAATCACACGGCGGGCAGCAACCTGTCCCGAACCACCGAGTACACCCGTCTGTATACGGGGAGAGAAGAGGTTTGTTGTCCAAAGGAGCCGTATCCCTTTCAAAACGCTCCCAATCAAGT